CATTCCCCCCCATTCCCCCGCTAGGTCTCGCCCCTGTATATATATAATTATATAGGGTACATTTACTCATGTGGCCTTCGCAGCGCCGTTCAGTGGTCATGGTTTATGACATGTTTATATTTTTTCATTTTTCATATTATACGAATCTATATAATATATAAATATGTATTATATAATTTATATCATATATTTATTTATTTATAAATGTTCTTGTGGCTATATGAACCATTTTGTATAACTACTTGGTTCACTTTGGTATGGCCTACCCAGTCTGGTTCGTTACAGCACGCATTTCATAATTATTCTGGGAGTCTGTCTTATATCTTTTCTGAGATATTTAGGTGCGATCAAGGAATCATCCGAGTGCGACATCATGATGGCGCTCAAGTTCTCTTAGACGTGGTAGGCGGCGAACACAGATCGTCAGACTCAGCTATCGCCTCTAGCACAATGTTCGTCGTAGGTCTCTATATATCGGCGATAGGTGTGTGTGGTTCTACCTTCTTTGCACCTATATCATTCGTGCTTACGTGTTTCACTGCCAATTTTCGACTTCCGTTTGGGGCTCCGCGCGTTGTATTAGTTGGCTTACTCAAAGGTGTTGTTCATGCCTCACTAAGATGGAGGTCCTACTAAAGCATTGGCCGCTTTCCATTCGCGAAACACTTGCTGTTCCGCACGCGTATGATTACTGCTATCCTTTCCGTAGAAAGCTGACTGTGTTTGCTTCATAGATAATAACAACAATAACGGCGACTATTGTCGTTACACATAAAGATTCTTTTCTAGAGGCAATCGAAGTTGATAAAACTGGTACAACAATTACGGCATTGTAACTATCGGACTATCCATCGGCATTGGGATTACAATTTGCATGCTGAATAATATAACGATTGATTGTGCGACAGCGGGCGTGTTTATCGCGAGAGGCATGTACTCTCACAAAACTTAATTTGCAAATTAATTAGAGTAGCGAAATCCCTGTCTGCATTAAGCATGATCAAACAAAATTTATATACAATTTATAATACGGCGCTTACTATATCTTTATTTATTTACTCTACAGGATATCGCTTGGCAAACGATGAACGGATTTTTAATTCATATTTTGCTTGTCGGCAGGTGGCAGAGGCCATCAGTGCAACGATGGTATTATGTTTTGTTATTATGCCTGCTTATTTGACTCTGAGAATGTTTACAAAATTCGTATTAATTTGTACGTTTGATGGAAGAAGATAGGGCGATATGCCTTCGTGAACGCAACTGCAGAGGATAGCATAAAATCACCTTTGTTCTCGGATTCACTCGAATTCTATCAACTTACCGGAGGCGTTACGAACGAACGAAAAAGTTGTGGCGGGTAACACAGTTTTTCATGTAGGGCTACAACGTTTACGTGAGCCGTGTACCGTTGGTATTTGGACGCTCGCCGTCGCAACTGGACGCTCACTAAGTGCGCCTGCCGCGAATGCTCTTTTGTGTTGTTTCTAGTTTTTGTTTGTTGTTGAACAAGTCGGCACCTAGCAGCTGACAGCACACACAGCATCGCTATTGACTATTATATAATGCAGGATAGAATAATAGGGAAGGGTGTTGAACATCACATTGAAACACAAGGGAAATCGTGCATTTATAGGCCTTATACATACCTACGATATTACTACGGCTATACTTATCGCAACTTGAGCTCAATCGGACACGCAGTACCATTCGGCGCTAGCATGTGCGAACATCGTCAGTCTTCCTCGTATAAACCCGGCAATCGCGGAGATCAACGACTAAAACGGTATGACCAGCGATTCGCCATTCTTTGGCCATCGATCCATAATCCATTGCGGCGCGCTCCTAATTCAAACAAAAAGGCAGCTACGCTACCACAGCTTGCTAAGTCGGCAGCGAATGTGGCTCGCTGGAGTATTTAAGCGCCGGATCAGGCTGCATGCTGATTGAGGTTGGACGTGCGGGTGCTGTCGAAGGCATGGGCAGCTCATGTGGCAGAGGGTCGGGTGCTGTGTAGCTGTGTATCGGGGTCAAAGGTTATCTCGCGCGAGTGTGATGCCCTAAATGTGCCTAGCCGAGCCACATGCTCGCCCGGATTGAGCAATACGCGCGTTAGGGTAGCTGCGCTGGTTTTGTTTGATATTAGAGGGCACGCATGGATTTGCATTGATGGCCAAAGAATGGAGAATCGTGTCGAGGTTTTAGTCTGTATCTCCGATTGCCGGGGTGTATACGATGGGGGGAAACGACTGTTCGCACGATAGCCTAGGCGAAGGTACTGGTGTCCGATTTTGAGGCTCAA